GTAAGAAAAGTAAAAACAGAACAAACAGAATTTTAGGAGTTTCAGGACTGTGGGGGGGGTCTTCATTAAGATCTCATTATTATGTTTTCTGTGTCAATTAGTTTATGTGCTAGTGTTAGCTGTCAACTTTACACACAGGGAAGAGAGAACCTCAACTGGGGAATTGGGACTGGCCTGTTAGCATGTCTGTGAGGTATTTTCTTGATTGCTGATATGGGAGGGCCCAGTCCACTGTAGGTGGTGCCACCCTTGGGCAGGTGGTCCTGGATTGTATAAGAAAGCAGGCTGAAAGCAGGCCAGAGAACAGGGAGACCATCTCAAACAAACAAACAAAAAAGTGTATTGCCTGCACGTACATGAGTGCACCCATCCATAAGTGCTTTCTCCATGTTCTCTGCGTCTGTTCCTGCCTTCAGGTTCCTACCTTGACTTAGCCTGGGTGACTTGGGCACTGTAACGGAAATAAATGTGTTCCTCCCCAAGTTATTTTTGGTCAGTATTTTATCACAGCAATAGAGAAGGAAACTAGGACAGCGAACATCATTACAATGAAAATTGTCATTAAGCATCCAACTTATTTCAGTGTTTCCCTTGTTCTTTTAGGTTCCTAAACATAAAACCTTGGAGATGTCAGACTCTGATCCTCCGCCTTTTTTTTTTTTTTTTTTTCTTCAGCCAATGCTGAAGATGAAACCCAGGGCCTTGTACACATTAGGTAAACACTGTACCACATCTCCAACTATTAAAAAGTTATATATATATCTATATAATATACAGTTAAATCACTGTGTTCCAGTATTTCTTCCTTCCAAATGTCTCTTCTGAATGCAAAGCAAAATTCTCAATTTCAAAACAATACATACACACGTGGACACACACAACTTAGTACTTACTTAGACCTTAAAAAGAGGGGTTTTATGTTTGTTTTTAATTAAGGCACTTTTTAAATATTTCATTACTTTATGTGTATAGTTGTATTGCCTGCATGTATGTGAGTGCACCTGTATTATGCAATGCCGTGGAGTCAGAAGAGGTTTCAGATTTCCCTGGAACTGGAGGGATGGTTTGTAGCCACCACGTGGGTGCTGGGAATTGAACCCGGCTCCTCTGTAAGAGCACTCAGTGCTCTTAACCGCTGAGCCATCTCTCCAGCCCCCTTTTGTTTTTTAAGAATGGAAAGAGCTGTTGAGTTACAAACATTGAAATCCGCATGGAGAAAAATGCATAACCCTAGTTTTAGAAAAAGGAAAATAGTTTTCAGCATAATAAAGTTTTGAAAGAAATCACACACTAAAGCATTAACAGCTGTTCTACTTGGGGGCAAGGGTTGGTACGTTTGTTGAAACAGGGTCTTCCTGTAGCCCTGATTGGCCTTAATCTCAGAAATCCACCTGCGTCTGCCTCCCAAGTGCTGGGATTAAAGGCCACCACGCCCAGATATAAGTGATTTTTTAAAATTATTTTTTATTGGCTGGGCATGATAGTGCATGCTGTTAATCCCAGCATTCGGGAGGCAGAGGCAGGCAGACCTCTGTGAATTCAATACCAGCGTGGTCTACACAGTAAGTTCCTGGCCAGCTGGGGTTACAGGGAGACCCTGTCTCAAACAAACAAAATAAACTAAAAATATATATTTTTTTTATTTAATAATTGTGTGTGTGCTGCCCCTCCCCCTTCAAGGTCAGAGGACAACTTTGTAGAGTTGGTTCTCCCCCTCCATCTCATTGAAGGGTTTCTGTTTATATTATGCATCACACTGCAGACTAGGTGGTGGTCAAGCTTCCGGGGGATTCTGTCTCTGCTCTCACCCATCTCCAGGCAGGAGTGCCTGACTGGGATTACAGATGTATAATAACGCATCCACTTTAAAAAAAAAAAAAAAAGAGGGTTCTAGGGAATTGAACTCAGACCAATAGGCTTTCATGGCAAGCACTTTTACTGACTGAGCCACTCTGAAGGCCCTTACAAGTGATTTTTTTTGCCTTTTTTGTGTGTGTTTTTTCTTTAAATTTCCTGCAATGAGCATTCATGATTTTTAAATTAAAAAAAAAAACTATTGAAATAATGTGACCTTAATCTGAGCATTCTCAATACTCCCATCTATCTCCCACACATCTCTCCTCCAGGATTCCAGCAGTCTTCCTTGAGTCCTCTAAGCCAGCTTCTAACTTTATTCTCACTTCTAGTAATGCTCCTGAAATTCATCATTCATACTTATCTATATGCAAACAGATGCTGACCACTTAAATAATCAACTGAAAACAGGATTTCTCAACCTCAGCACCACTGACATTTGGGGCTATTATTTCTTAGGCAGGCAGGGGCTGTCCCACCCAAGGATGCTTATCAGGATTCTAGGCCTCTAGTCAGTAGATTTGACTAGCACCCCTCTCTCATATTTTGACATTGCCAAATACCCTGAAGGGGAGAAAAAAATGCTCCCAGTGAGATCCTACGGCAAAAAATTTTGTAAGTCCCCAAGTCCTTGTCTTCTGCTCAAATACATATATATCAGGCCTAAAGCTCTCTGACGTGTCTTTTACAACATTCCTCAGTCTTGCCTCATCAGATATTACTCAACAGGAACTCTTCAAAAGATCAGGCTTACTGGCCCCCACCAAATCATTTCCATTCCCAATTTCTAGTCTTTGAAGTTTCCTTACAAACATTCCCCACCTCCACTTTTGCTCAATGTTCTACATAAATAAATCCTATTGTTAGTTCTGCAGCAGCCTTCCTCAGTTCAGTTCATCATTCACCTGCTGGACCAATGAAGAAAAGCACTATACACATTTCCTTTACTAATCTCACACTGGACTAGCCTCCCTAACATTTGTTGCCTGGCACATTTTTTTTGTATAGCTTACTGATCCAATATTGTGCTGGGCACTTAGGCAATCAAAACCTTGGTAACTGGTGAAGGAAATTTAAAGGTTTTGCTATAAATAAGCGTAATGAAGTGATTTTACTTTTGAGCAGACTTCTTGTCATGAATATTAAATATACTCGTTCCAAATACAGAATTACCACCTGGTAAATTTTAGAAATAAAAGCATTCATTCACAATGGTTTGTTTTAAAAGAATATACAGAAAATGAACCCATAAAGATCATACACATTAACCTTATGAATTCCATTTATCTTAAAAATATTCAATTTGATATTTTTTGCTCAAGCACAAAACTTAAGTGTAGACAGCATGAGCCGAGAACTGGACTGGTGTGTGAAGTGATTCATGAACACACAAAGGCATACTCGCCTAAGTATTTCCGAGGTTGAGGAGAATGAAATGACATCTGTAAATCAGTCAAGAGCTACAGGTAAAGGAGGCAGCGATATGGGCCTAACCAGCTCGGGTTCCAATTCAATCTGCTGGGTTTCTTCCCCGTCAAAATTACAACACTATAGGCTGGGCGTGGTGGTGCACGCCTTTAAACTTAGCAGGGGCAGAAGCAGAGGCAGACGGATCTCAGTGAGATGGAAGACAGCCTAGTCTACAGAGCGAGTTCCGGGCCAGCTGGAGCTACGGGGACACTCTGTCTCAAAAAAAAAAAAAAAAACCCAAAACCAAAACCAAACAAACAACCCAAATACACTACTACCTATTCCAAAGCAAAGCCCTTAAAACGCCTAGCACATTGAAAACATAAAATAAATATTTCTCGTTATTTTTTTAAACAAGGGTAGCTACTAGCCAAGAAAAAGCCTATTCGAAATGCATAAACTTCTAATTCGAATCAGCTGATTTAAAATAAAGAAAGCAAAAAAATCCCGAATGATTATTTTATGCAGGTTCCTATTAAAAGGATTCGTTTCTCCGACTGTTTGCAAGTACGAAATTGACAGTAATTACAGATCTAATTTCTCTTCCAATTATTTTTTCCAAATCTGGGAAGAAACTGATATACACATGTTTTCAAGGAGCTTTACAAGCCACTAGAAACAAATCAACTTTGTTATCTCCATATGTAAGCCTATTAAGAGCCGAGGTACTATTACAGAGCAACTTTTCAGAAAATACAAGGAGGTTTTTAAAGTTGCAATCCAGCAATTCTTACGCAGTTATGTCAAGTTTCTGTCCAGCGAAACAAAAGCTGATCTGTCAGGAAACCAAGAACTCAGAAAATAAGGAAATGCTTCCGTCTGGCCTAGGCAGCTCTCTGGAAAACCTGTCCCCACTCAGCTCGCCGCACACGCGCCCCGTCGCCCTTCCCCGCGGGCAGATGTCGACTCCACCCGAAGATAAAGAAATGACAGCAGCTTCGGTCCAGCAGTCTGTCCAGCGAAACAAAAGCTGATCTGTCAGGAAACCAAGAACTCAGAAAATAAGGAAATGCTTCCGTCTGGCCTAGGCAGCTCTCTGGAAAACCTGTCCCCACTCAGCTCGCCGCACACGCGCCCCGTCGCCCTTCCCCGCGGGCAGATGTCGACTCCACCCGAAGATAAAGAAATGACAGCAGCTTCGGTCCAGCAGTCCCCGCCTCCCGCGCCCGGACC